CTTTCACGAAGAGCCGCCATGTTTCCAACCAAGACAGGGCGACAGAGAGGATATTTATTAACATAACATTGGCGGGAAATAATTTATCTTGTCCAAAACTCATTTCTGAGTGTAATGCCGAACTGCATGTTACCTTAACAAAACACCATAATGAAACGCGCTATGAAAATGACAAATCACAACAGCAAAACGGCTTTTCCCAGTGTCGAAATGGAAGAATACTAGAATACAATAGCAAAATAGCAAAGTGTAATAGCCGATCGCCAAGGTAGAGTGACAAATCAGCACTTTGCAAAAGTAAAATAGTCAAATGTGATGGCATAATGTCATAACACAAGGACCAAATAGAATATTAAGACGTCACATTGGAATAGCACAATTGCATATCTCAATGTCATCACTGAAATTGTGGATATCATAATTAAACATTTATTTTTGACGGTAATTACACTCCATAAAGTTATACTATATTGGTTGATATAATCTAAAAAGATTAATAATTGACATAAAGAGTGGGCAGCTTCATGGATTTCGCACATACCTTAAAAGCAATATTTCCAGGGTCCTTGTAGAACTGGAAGTTTACCCCATCATCGCTGGACTGTAACTTATATTTCGTTACCCACTGGGCGTGCCGTCCGTTTCTCCCTTGTGTCGCAACACCCGTGACTCTGATGTTATTATTACGCAGATCAATCTGGAGCCACTGGCTGTTGTCATTTGTGCCGGCGGACCAAGCGCCTGCCTTTCCTGCAGTTGCGTTTAAGTGTAGACGGCCTCGACTGGCAGCGTGAGCCTCGTCCATTGATGATGAAGAACTGATTTGCGTGTCTACTATTTCACCATTTTGCATTCCAAGGGGTTCGTTGATATCTAGAGGTTTTATGACATTAATTACTCATAGATTTTAAAGTTAGGACACGTTATATGTACAGATAAGCGTATAATTTAGTGCTAACTTAACGAACAAACATTCCCTTCGAAAAAAGTTTCCGTCAGAGGGGTACGATTTTGTAAAGTAAGATACACAGTTTAACGAATTTTAAAACTAAATGAATTTTAGGCTATAAGTATAGAGTTTTGTGTAATAAAAGAGTCGTCCCTAAGGTAGTCTGCGCTCAGTATTAAACGCAGTGAATTTACAAAACCTAGCTTTCAAGTCTTATACACGTAAACTTACCATTTTGTCGCCAAGAAACTGGGTCACAAGGCTCTTTTGAAAAGGAAACTTGTTCAATGGCCATAATTTGGCCACCAAACTCTTCATAAATACCAAACAATTCAAGCTGTATTGTGTTTAAAGAAGACGTTCATACATAAGTCACAAGTATAGGAATTTCTTACTAAATTAATACTAGGGGACTGTACTTCTTAACACATTAATCTGTCTGAAACAATTGATAAGAGATGTTCGTCATAGAAAAAAGGGAATTGTATACATAGAAGCTGAGTTAGGATCTCAAAACGTCATTACAGCCAGCAAAAATTTTTTGTCACAAGTGTACTAACAAGAATTATATTTTGGTACCTTTGCTTTGCTGTAATTGCTCGGCAACGGTATCTGAGTATAGTTTGTCGCACTTGCCACTTCATCCACAAAGAAAAGCAGTGTGGATAGGTTCGATATTAACGACTGTAGAAGCACCTGTAACGACGTTTTGTACAAGTTTGTGGCACCAATGAAATACCATAAGCGTAAGCACTTCCATTCGATAGTGTTTATAATTGGGGACGAGAGTGTATGAGGCACTTCAGATGCTCCGGTGCGGAGAAAAATGAATGATACGCTTGGACCTAACAGTGAAGTAAGAAATTAACTGCAACGATTTGATTATGGCCTGAAAGAGGTTAACAGCGATTTCACATAAGAGACATTTTCAATATGTTAAGTGCTGATGTCTGTTAATCGGTCGACAATCCGTCACTGGTTCAGTTTGTCTGTCGTTCGGTCAGTTTGTGAGCAAGTCAGTCTGTCAGCCGCTCAGCTAGCCTGCCAGCAAGTATGTGCAATGTGGATTACCCAGTGTTAAATCAATATTCATATTGTGTTATTTCTATTCTAAAATATTTGAAGTAGACAGAATGCAAACGTTTGAAGTTGTCCATCAATATCATTTCGATTGAATGGATGATTGGATTGACACATTGAGTCACTGAATTTCTACATTATTCCAAGCTTTTCCCGATCTACAGCATCGATGCCTACTTGGATCGGCAAGAACTTGGAATTAAAAGATATACAGTAGCTCAAGGCCTCCATCAATATAAACCTTATTGCAACTTCTCAGCCTACAAAAAATGAAAAGAAAAGTCTCGAACTTGACAATAAAATCATACCATAATTTTGTAAAACTGGGTCAGGTGAGTGTTTAGAGAGAGTCCATCCTTCCCGAGTCTCCCAATCACACGTATCCTCTCTAAAACTGCAGTCTGGACTGTCTAAAGATTGAAAGAAATGATAGAAACCTTTTTTTTTATCAAATTCATAAATTATATCTCAGAAGAACGAATGGTTAGGTTTCGTAGCTTCTTACTGTCAACCTAACCCTCTTAAGGGTTTTTCTCCGTACGTTTGACTGACACAGTTTTTTTAAGGCACAGATGTCTTTTTCAAAACTAAAATGGGTTGAGTTCGGTGCGTATATTTGACAACAAAGTTTGTGCCATAACCAGCTGTTAACAATCTATGTTGCACGAGAACCTCTTCCATTTTAAAGTAAACTCTTGTGAGTGGACAGTAACATACCTAAAGCTAGATTGGTTGGGTCGATGTTGCATTGAAACAGCAAAGTTTGTTAGTCCAAGACTACTCTCCCACGAAGATGTCCAATAGGTCTAACTTGTGCTTTCATTATGTAAGGCAGATCTCGAATTTTTGCACTCCATATAGTTACAACAACATTTAGTGGCACATGCACCTTTGGTCTACGAGCTGATCATCGACTTACGCAAGCGCTTAACTTCATCCACTTTCACTTCTACTGATAAATAGCCATGTGTAAACTGCGGCTTTTCGCTTATGCAAAGTATAATTTGTCATTTCGGGTGAACGAGAATACAGAAGGACGGACGACGAACATCGCGTCACGACCAAAATTGTTCAGCCGAACAGGTTACCAGATTTGCTGAGGTATGGGGCTACGCCAAGTGCGCTGTAAATTTTATCAGAAGATCACTAAAGAAGCCGCTTCGAAAAATTTCAGGAGTATAAAAGAACTGTAGCGGCGTTAAAAAAATTATTTCAAGTAATATTTTTATTGTATTGCTTTGCTTTCCCACTGTGCGTTTTAATCCATACCTTGTGCAATAATCTTCTTACAGTTTCCATCCAACACAGACATATCATCTATCGCAATGTCACCTTCCCGTCCATCACCAGTCGTCCCTTCTACGACAAACTTTGCAAACAGCATAAAAAGAGTACATAAATTGTGGAAACATTCTCATTAACGTTATTATTCTCCATATAACTCAATGTACGTCAAAAGAAAGCGAATTACTAAGAACCGCTCACCACCAAGCCAAGATCAGCGAATAAATTAACCCGTCTTGAAATATTCAGATCAATTTACACTTATGTGCATGCTTTGGCAGCTGCTTGTTCAATTAGATTTTCAGACAATGAGAACAGTTCCAGCCATAAAAATAAAAGTAAAGATTACAGTTTCAAACGAAAGATACGGCACTTCGGAAGCTTAGTATAACTTACCCTATGAGCCTTTTCACTGATCAGAGAAAATTGACCAAACTTCCAGCGATCCCCTTGATCGCTTG